AAAAAAAATAACGAGTACTGAACTCTTATGTGATATTTTATATATATATATATATATATATATATATATAAGTGTACTCGTCCGGAAAAACCTTAGGCGTATTGGTTTGTAAATGAGCAAACAAGGAAAAAAAAAAGTAATAAAAAAAGAAAGAACTAGGAACATGTAATTTTGGCGAAAATAATCGACCAGAATCCAAATTCAGAGTCCAAAGAAAAAACCTCCGAAACGAGTAAAATAAACATAACTAAGCAAAGTGCTCAATAGGCTAAGAGAGCAAATCTAACTATGAACCTAAAGGGCCAGGCAAACCTACCTAGGTTTCAACCACGCGGATTGTCAGGGTACGCTTGACCAAGCGTACCCTGACGATCCGCGATCAGTGAAACCTAGCTTGGGTTGCCTGGCTCTTTTTCATTATAATTATATATATATATATATATATATATATATATATATATATATAGATAGATAGATAGATAGATAGATAGATAGAGAGAGAGAGAGAGAGAGAGAAAAAGCGGAGAGATAGATGATAGATGCATACATATATACATACATAGTTTTTCATGTATAATTTTCCATATTTTATATAACCTTGCTGCTCGACATCAAGTAAAGGTCATCTTAATTTTCAGATGTGTAATTATATCTTTGTACAAGTTTCACTATCATTTAATCCACCTATTTATATACATTAAACACCATATATATATATATATATATATATATATATAGGCATGAAATTACAAAATTTTTACTTGATGCATCGGAATTCCTAATGATTACATTTCCCGGTTGAGTTCAGTCGACCTATTTGGCAATCCACACTTCCTTTACACCCACATATATATCAAATTTTTACGTTCAAAAGTACTCTTAGTCAGTGTTGGCAATGATTGCTGCAGCTTTTTCCCTTTATATTCCTTAATAAATTTGTTTATAGTTCTCCTTAGTCTTGCTTCGTCAGCCATTTGCGCAAGCTCGCTAGGTAGGCGATTTGTTGTTTATTTCTGTTCCCATTGCCTTTAATCTGTGGTGTTAGTATCAAAGTTTCCAAGCCTTCTTTCCTCATTATTTGCTCGAGAAATGTCGAATGTCTCTTTCTAATATTAAGTATAAATGTCCTTTTAGTTTCCATTTTCGATATATAAAATTCTCCGGTTCCCGTTAATCCATCCGTCACACACTGTAAAATAGTTGTACCCCTACACGCAATTTGCTAGTGACCCGCTGGCGGACCACCGATGGCAACGCCAGCGGTAATCTGGTGGCAGCCACCGGCAGGCCATCGGCGATAACAATGCCGAGAAGAACACGCCAGTGGCCCGACAGCGATAAAAGCTCGTGGTATGACACCCAGTGGCAGATTGATGGCTTGCTTCTAGCGACATTGACCAATTGAAACCAAATTTTGAAGAGAAGTGCAAACAGGAAAAGGGGGGGAGAAAGTACAGTTGGCTTTCCTAGGATGCGTAGCTTAGTGCAATATATTAAAATTAAACGTTTCAATATTTTGCATGCGAAATATACCCACTATTTTAAAAACAATTTAATGATTAAAATGGCAAATAGTTATTGGTTAATAAAAAAATGCAATATCGTTTTTTGCATATATTATCTTTAATATTTTATAAACAGGTTATCCCAGGAAATTTGACATTATTTTAAAAGCAATTATCTTGAAAACTACTAAGTGTAGCTCAATGAAATTGAATATTTTAGGTGTTGAATATCATAAGTTTATTATAGGAACGATTCTGGGTCCCAGCTATGGGAAAATAGTTCTTTGATTTTTGTTTTGTAAGAAAGTATAAAAATGCATTATGTTAAAAATACCAGAAATATATTTATTAGAAAAAAGTGACCAGTAGTGATAGAAATTTTATAGAAATGACAATCAATTCATCAGTAACTGATAAACATGCATTTCTATAGTAAAATTACCAACAATACATTTTATCATCTACAAACTATATATCTAAAAAAATATACGTTTGCCTTGAAAGTTTAAAATTATGGACAAAGTTGACGCCATAGATTTCGGGATTAAATAAACCATTAAGTCGTAGACATGCCGCTAAACACAAACAACCAAAGATATACCACTTGATGTTTGATCAATATATAAAAGAAATACTTACTAAAACTAAAGTTTTATTTACTGAATGATAGTATGTGAAACGCCTGTGACACGGTACACGTTAAGTTGGTAGTTAAGCTCTTGCCAAATACGCAGATGTCGATGACGGTCTACCAGATGCTTTAGTCCTGCATAAGCAAGCCTTCCTCTTTAAATTTTTGGTACCAAGTCCAAATTTTTTTGCCAGTTGGCAAGTTTTTTTTCAAATTTTGCTTGAGTGCGAGCATATTCCAAGACACAAAATGACTTCTCTTTGGAAGTGAATGGCATGGCTCAACCTGAAAACAGAACCAAAATAAAACATTAAATATAAAATCTTCATCTGTTTCTGTACATTCTGTAAACATTTAAGGTTATTTCAAAAAGAAGTGCCAACATTATTGGTTTGAAAATGATGTCAAATTTTTGGGAAACACGCACACGCACACACACACACACACACACACACACACACACACACACACACACTATATATATATATATATATATATATATATATATATATACAGGGCGTTTCCAAATACACACACATATATATATATATATATATATATATATATATATATATATATATGTATTGGGTGTTTCCAAAAATTTGACATCATTTCGCAGTACAATAATTTTAGCAATTCTTTTTGAAATAACCTCAAATTTTCACAGAATGTATAGAAACAGATCAACATTTTATATTTAATTTTATATATATATATATATATATATGGTGTTTCCAAAAATTTGATATCATTTCGCAGACAAATAATTTCATTAAATTTCAAAATAAGTTATTCCAATATTCGCTTGAAAATGAAACAGAGCTAGGGACTTTATTCTAATTTAATTCTATAATTGAATTTGAAGTTTTTAGCTTCTGTTTTTGAAACATGGTAATTCCTGTGTAACGATGGAACCATATTTTTTAAATAAGTAAAATTATAATATATAAATAAGTAAATTTTACATATATATATATATATATATATATATATATATATATATATATATTTCATTCCAGTAAAATACAGTTCACAGTTGAAGCCCTAGAAAACAGTGTAGGGCGAATTTCCAGTGGGCAGTGAGTGAATTTCAAGATTGAAAGCAAGAATTTGAATTTTTTGCGAAATTGAACAAAACGTTTATTTTGTAAGTGTTGACAAACCCGTTAGCGATAACTTCAACGATACTAAATACTGTGAGGATTTCATCACACGTCAGCGTCTTATATTCAGTTCACGGTATTCTCATCATCCTTCTGTAGAACTACATTTCTGTGGCGTCAAGTCTCATCTTAATCTGTGACGAGATTGTCAACCATTCAATGACATTTCGGAGGGTTGGTATTGCGAACCGCTTAGCGCTGTTCTCTTTGTCTTCAACACGACAATCATGATAATTAGCCATATGTACTGTCGAAGGGCACTAAGATCAGGGTGTTTAGAACCATTGTCCTCGCCACTCTCTTACATGGCTTATAGTAATGTGTCCCTTACCGGCACCACCTGCGACTCCTCGAACGATTCCACCAGGCTGCTTCCGCACAATCCTTAACATTCATTGGAGTGAGTCACCAATATTGAACTTGAAGAGCCGAAGATTGAGTCGATGCTTCTGAAGTCCCAGCTACACTGAGCTGGAAACGTTTCCAGTATGGAGAATTATAGCCTGCCTAAAATTTTATTACACGCCGTGAGCCACTGGCTATCTCGGCATAGTGGCGCCAAAGATAAGATTTAAAGATTGCCGGAAAAAATCATTTGGTGCCTGTCACATAAATCACTTCCAATGGTCAACTCTAGCTGCAAACCTTGACACCTGGCGTCTCACCGACAATCATGCCGTCTCCTTCTTTGAAAATACCCGCAGCTAGGCTCAGAGGAGGAAGTACTGCAAAGCTCTGCCGTCGAGGCCCGGCCGGACTTTCAGTTGCATTGGGCTTATCAGTGACAAACGTGCCTGTAAGCGACGTGTACAGACTCCCTCTTGATCTTCATTTTGCGAAGCCAAGCCATGACTATACGAAGAGAAAGGACATTATGCAGTGAAAACTTCATATCAAACTTAATTTACCTTGGTTTATTCACTGCTTTTCATTGTTACCTTTATCTCCAATACGCCATGTGAGTGTCAAATTCGACAAGCTCTCTTTTCTCGTAACGTATCCCAGAGATTGCTGTCTCTTTCTGCTTATGAATATAAGCATCGTGTAATTTTTAAAACTCCCTTCTTGCTCAGATTTTGATTGATTTAATTATTGATTCTTTTTTGTAGGTTATTTAAAGCCAGAAGATATTTTTAAATTGTTTTATTTTTTTTTTCAGATAATAATGATTGAGTTATAAAAGTCTTATTAATTAACCTATAGCTAGGGGAAGAAGAGGTGGATTTATACCATTCTCAAGAGTATTTGCGCGTAAGTGAATATAACGAACCCGACGGGAATCGGAACTTGGCTCCCGATTAACAATTACGAGCCATTATTCATTACAACATCCGCACATCCAAACTTACAGTATCTGGCATTCTTAAACGACTACCCATCTAATTCCTGTTCAGGCTCGGCGTTGCTTAACTTCAGTGATCGTACGGAAACCGTTATCTCGATGTGATGTGTCCGTAAGCCATTCGTGCTCTGGGTTTTGGTGCACGGATTCCTCAGCATCCTTTTTTAGAATGACATCTCTGTGACCTTGCCTTCTTTTCTCTGTAACGAATTCACTGCCATTTGATATTCATAGCTTTCTTTTTATTTACTATTTTATTTGGATTTATAAATGTTTATCGAACATTATTATGATTCAGCCAAAACTTGTTCAAGTCTAGGGTTAAAGGTTATTAAAAGAGATTAGAGGTTTTGAGGAGC